GATTGGGAGCCCAGATCGGTAATATACTGCATGGGGAGGAATGTACGTCACGCCGAGGATGGGAGCTTTAGCTCCGCAAATCAACCCATGAGCGAACTCATCTAGAGGATCTCTCAGGTAACTAAGGAGGTGAGGCAAGGGACTCGCACTTCTAATAGGGAGAAAGACATGCTCACCCAAGCACTCGGAACCAAGGAGCACCCTGGTCGCACTAGAGGAATCAGTGTTGTTCCTTGGAAACTAGCATCCCCCCAAGAATCTAACACTTACCGGAGCCGCTTGAGGGGTAGAGAGGATCAGGAGGCAGAGTATATGAGGCGACTAAAAGAGATGGAAGATAGAATGGATGCATGGATTGATGCGACTATTGAAGCATGAGTCCAGCAAATTTTGCTGTCCAAGGGGTCAGGAGTACCACAAAACCCAACTCCTACTGCCTTTGGCCCACAGTTTAGGGGTCGCAGTAGCTGCAGATCGACCCTACTCGATGAAGAAGATACGAATGTGCCTCATTCGGTGGACTGCATCACTGAACCCATCAATATCAAGTTGTACATCCGTCAGGAATGGACAAAGGACAAGGTGGCACTCGGCCAGACCTGACCCATGGGAGATGGGACCATTAATGGCCGCCCAATTCCACAGGGGTATGCTCATGTCACCATTGACAGAATACTTGATAAGAAGTTTAACAAGATACACATTGAGTACCCCGTAGCGGAAGACAGGCCGAAACTTGGTCATAACAAGGGCTCTCAAGTGGACTGGCGCAAGCGCTTCATTAAGCTTGACCACCAATTGTCCTCTGATGATGAGGACGACTGTGAGTCTTCGCCCACCCGCGATGATCACTCACCATCTCCCAACAGAGATCACTCCCCTCCTCATCCCTTGCCATCACCCTCGAGAAGATAGAGGTCTCCTTCTATTCCTCCTCGTCTAACTCCATCTTCATCAGCCCCGAGAAAAGAGAAGACTCCTCCTCCTCCTCCTCCATCTTCATCAGCCTCGAAAAACAGAATTCTCATCATCATCCTCCTCCTCGTCCTCCACCTCAGCCCAAAACAAGATCAAGGGCATTCTTGCAGTCGTAGAAAAGGTCCTTAGATTCGGTCACTGATGCTCCCAAAGTGGACCAACAAAAAAGAAAAAGGTCGTTCAGTGGTAGCGTTACAAACTTGATGGAAGGAAAATTTACAGCACACATCTCGAAGGAAGATTGTGTTAGTTTCTTCAATCTCTATGTCTCACTGCCTTCGTGTTTGTTGAAGTCCGAATTCGAAAGGCAAACACAGAATTAGTACGGTACAATATGAGCCGATGAAATACACAATGAAGATTTAAGTAAGATACAGAAGTACGTCGAAGACAACCCCGAATTAACCATGGAAGAGGCCACAAATATCTATTATGATGTACAAGGGACAGGAACACCGACAATGAAGTATGAAAGGGGCAATCTTTTGGTTCCCGATGACGAGTATAAAAATTTGACAACATATATGCGCCAGTTGCATGAATATTACATGGCTCAAGCAACACAGACGGACGACTTTGGTTTTGAGGTTATTATTCGTTCGCCACATGTTTTTCATTATCCTGAAGAAAAGAAGTTTGATGTCGAGTGGGAGTGCTTGTTCCAGCTATACCAGAAACGCTCTCTCGATACACAAATGTTGACGCTATGGACTATGTAAGTACCCTACATGCACGTTATTACAATTAACTACTCTCTCGAGACATAAATTGTTAACTTTTGAGCACTTCGCATGATTTTATGTAGGTGTATAGCAAAATTTTGCATTCTAAAAAGCAAATGGAATAACATAGGTTTCTTGAACCCCTTGTGAGTCAATGAGAAGACATGTCTAGGCCTCCATGGATGTGACGTGGAAGACCTGAAACAGAGATTGATTACTGTTTTCGACGAATTCAAGATGAAGAATAAAACTCACATACTTCTAGCCTACAACTGCGAGTATGTGTTCTCGGCTTTTAATTTTATGCTTCTTTTTTCATTAAGATTATTTGATAATTAGGATTTTGTGATTGCAGCAACCATTTCATCTTCATTTGTGTTAATCTTGCCAAAAATCTTAACGAGGTGTGGGACTCGAAGAAAAAAACTATTTCATCATCTGGATGCACTGGTGGTAGTACTGAATTAGTAAGCGATCCTAATAACATATTATTTTCTAATCACACGTACCGTTTTCTAACGTTTCTCCTTTTAATGTTGCTCAGTGTCCTAAGAAGACATATCTGTGGAACGCAGGTCCCATTCAAGGTTGTCGAAATGGAGGGAAAGTACCTAAAACAGCCAACGGGAAACAATGAATGCGGGTTTTAGGTAATATGGGCAACGCTTCGCTACATCGGCGGGAAATCGGAAGAAGCCGATAAGTTGGTGTGTATAATCCCCATTTCATTTATGTCTATTAATAATTCAACAAAATGATTTACTGATTCCTTTTTGGATATCATCTTTTTTGAACGACGGCGCAAAAAATATAACCACGAAAGGCTGTTAGACATGGAGATCGTCGCACTGCAGTTGGAGCGGGCAAAATTCATCTTAGCCGAGGTATTGGAAAAAGATAGAGTATTTTTCATTGCACAATTCGTGAAGTTCAAGGACCAGTATGGCCCAGAACGGCTCGCCAGATTATTGTAAGGAGTCTGAGAAGCATTGCACAATCTGTGAAGTCCGAGAACATTTTTTTTATTTTGGGGGATCGAGATCTTGATAAGAACATTTGAACTGTAACCGTAACATTTGTAATATTTAATATTAATGGATCTGTCGTCTACGTAGCATATATAAAGCGAAACCCGATTCCACGAAAAAAATATAAATTAAAATAAATTATAAAACAATAAAATATGAATGTGCCATCACTGCCAGTTAGCAGCAAACTGGCAGTGTTGTCGTAAACATCACTGGCGGTTAGAAACAAACCGACAGTGATGACCAAGATGGCACTGCCGGCTGGAGCCACGAACTGGCAGCGTTGGCTTATACATCACTGCCGATTCATGTCACAAACCGGCATTGATTCTTACGAGAACACTGCTGGTTGAAACACAAACCGACAGTGTTGCACTGCCGGTTCTTGTCATAAACCGGCTGTGATTCTTACGAGAACACTGCCGGTTGAAACACAAACCGACAGTGTTTGTGAAACCGAACTCTGCCGGGTGGTCTTCTGAACCGGCAGTGTTGGTGGAACTGAACTCTACTGGTTGTGTAAAGAACCGGCAGTGAAGTTGAAGAACACTGCAGGTTTGTAGGAACCGACAGTGATATCTTACCCTCATCATTGCCGGTATGGTTGTGCCGGTTCAAAATCCGACAGTGATGGAGTGTTTTGAACCGGCAGTGAAATGCTATTCTGGCGTACTTTTAAAAGTTAGATGTAAGGCCTACTCGTAGCAAGATAAGCTCCTGATTTATGTGAGGTCTGCAACGATTCTTGTAACATCATTGTGATATCAAATTTATGGTGCATGCTTGTTTTTACAAAGAAAAAAAAGATAGTATGGAGGCACCAGTAAAAAATGACTGCATGCAGCAAATAAGATAGTTTTCCTCGACTTTCATATATATGCAGTCTGACAGAAAAATATGGAATTTATCTTCTCAATGGGCTATGTTTAACTTGTTTCTTAGGTGTGGTTATCAGAACATACTGGGCAATGGAATGTTTGACTAAATTGATAAAATGGCATGTTAGCTGGCACATCAAAGTCCAATTAACTCAATCCCTTTGTTTTGTATCTGCGGCTTGCATTAGCATCGCTTTTGTCACAACTCACAAGATGAACTAAAACAAGTTAATATAAATAAATAAAGCACTAACATCGCTTTTGTTTCTAATTTCAGTTTATTTTCATAATAAATCTGTTTATTATAAGATGTACAAATAAACCCTTATAGGGTTTCGGCGCTAGAATTTCCAATTTTCAATTAGCAAGGGAGGGCCAGCAGCAGTGGTTTAATAAATCCAGTCATGTATGACAAGATTTTGACCCATTATATTTCACGTAAGGCACTTGCTCTATTTTTTTTCCACATTCGGCTGCTCAGCTACCAAAGCTTGGGAAAGAATTGAACTTTCATAATCACGTGGACGGTAACACCACAAGATCGAGCGGCGCGACGTTGTTAAGGTGCTTTAATTTGTCTCGCCGCGGCAGCTGCATGGAGTAGACGCCACGAAACGACGATAAAATACAATCATCATTCGCCACTCGCGCGCTGCTAGACGGCCATCGTGCGTTCATGGGAACTCACCAATCATCGCCCCCAAATCTCCCGAGATCATGCGACGCCCACATGCATGCCACCCGATTTGGTTATAGTTCCCACGGTCCTGCTCTTGATCCGCACGCCTGAACCCCCGTAATCCCCTGCTCCAAAAGCATCAACCTCTGCTCTCTGCTCCTGCCTCCAAGAAACTCCAAGGAGCCGTCCGAGCTTTGCATGCACTCTAAGCCTAGTTTAATGGCGAGATCCCAAAAACAAGAAGCCCTTAAGCTACGTAGCTTATTTTTTCTGTCAAAAGGAGTTCTGAGTCACCGAATCGTTTGCCACATGAGCAAAAGGTGAATGAGACTCCATGGATGATGGAACAGAAGAGGCAGAGCTCAACTTCAACTCATAATAAGAACTGCGGCTAATGAACAGAGAACATTTGTTATGGAACCAAGAAGCATTTGAATAAAGGTTTCTCCTTTACATGTTCAAGAACAAGGATATACTTATCGTGAAGTCAGCCTAGCTTGACATAGCTTCTTATCCGTTCATTTGATTCAGAGCTCGAATGTTTCGTGTATAGAACTAGACAAGAACAGAGTAAGCCTCACCGCATTTACACTTGCAAGGAGCCCATAGGGGATAGCATTAGCAGAGAGATGCGATTCCCGCGCTTCCGAGAAGTTCTCTCGAGTCTCGATCGGTTGAAGCATGCAAGCTAGCGCCAGGGCGGCCTCAGTCGTCGTCACGGCGTCCCGCCGCCGCTACAGGCGAAGAACTGGGCGTCGGCGGCGGTGTCCGGCATGTCGTTGTGGCACGCGGACGAGCCCGATGGCGGCACGAACCCCCGGGGCAGCATCGCCGAGAACGTCCACGCGCCGGTGCCGCCCCCGCCGCGCGCCCTGCTCCTCCGTTCCCTGATCGGCCCCGTTGTTGGCGCCACGTGGAACTGCTGCCGCGCGCGCCCTAGGACTGGGACCACGGCGGGTGGCAACGCCGGCTTGTCGTCCACGCGGCGGCGGCGGCGCTCCGAGGAAGCGCGGACGGACGGCGAGGAGAGCGTGGCGAGGAGGAGGAGAACCAGCAGGAGAAGGTAATATAGCCGCCGCGCTGGGGACGAAGCCATCGCTAGGGACGAGTAGGAGGAGACGCAGGACGTGAGCGGCGTGTGCAGGTGCAGGTGCAGGTGTGTGCGCGCGCATGGAAAGGCTGTGGCTGTGGCGGCGGCCTGGCGGGAGAGCGCGCACTCGGCTATTTTCAGAGGTTTGCTTTGGCGTGTTCTCTGGTGCCGCAACCTGTGGTGTGAGGAGGGAGACTTGCATTTGAAGGCGGAGATGTTGCCCGCGCCTCCGCTCTTTATAGCCTGCCTCGATCGTTTCTGGTTGTTTTCGCGAGGGGACAGGGACACAGGAGGGCTAAGATTCAGGCTCGATTGGATCGACACATGATAGCACGAGGGAGAAGCTAGCAGGCCGATTGTGTTAAAAAGAATACTCACCGTTCATCGTAACCAAAAATACCATTGACAGTCAGAATTTTTTAAAATAGTAAAATCAAGGTTGGCTCAGAGTTGAGAATGCGCTGGCCAAAAACTTGACCTCAGTTACTCTGCTTTCATTTTCCTAGGATCATATGTTGCTGTGCTATTAACCTAGACTTGATCTTTATTTACGTTATTAAGAAAAAAAAACCTTTAGCTTGTTGATAGACATCATCAGGTCATCATCTGCTTTATGTGTGACGTACATAAAAACAAGCACATTTCAACCATTTGCTACGTTGAAAGGTTAGCGCTACTGGCAGGCTTTAAAGGTGCAGCGTACACCAGTGCAGCCTTACAGCTCAACGAACCTAATAGCACGTCATTCATTCATAACCTTATACGTGGCCCTTAGGAGCCAAATGTCATCACCTGCCTGCAGGCTGCAGCATTACTTGACGTCTTGGACAACCTCTTGAGGCGTAGATCGGTCATGGTGTATTTGTATTTGGAAGGAACGCAATCATATATATATAAGCACTGTCCTTTTATCTATTTATAATATATATAAGCAGTAGGGGTAACTCCTGCTGATCATTTCTAAATAGCACCAAGCATTTATCTCAAAACCGGCAGGCATATGAACTGTTAAGAATAAACAACACTTGTGACAACCAGGAGGCGCATCGCCCAAGTTCTTGGATGTCCTTGTTTGGCTATAAACTTGACGCAGTACACAAGTACTTGCATTACTTTTGCCGGATGCCACCGGTACAAAGCCAGCTAAACAGACACTCAGACTAGCCTGTCGTCCTCTTGAATTCATTTCTTGATGAATTACCGGCTGGAAACAGAAGCATCGCTGTCAGTTCTGAACGCAAGATGATGCAAGTTTCACACCTAACTTGACCCAAAACACCACACAACTTCTGCTACGAAAATAGCATAATCCTCTTGGAAAATAGTACTAGTATATTGCAGGAAACAGGTCATCCCTGCTCTGCTATAAAAAGAACTACGATTTTTTTTTTTTGAGGAAACAGGAGGGGCCGGGATCTTACAGAAATTTTATTGAAAACAAGGTTTGTGAACAAATAACTACAAAACTACACAAAAAAATACAACTTAGGGGACAAAAAAAGAGACAAAGTAAAATAAAGAGGAACCAATCAGGGGTCTGAATTTAGGCTGAGGATCCATAATTCAAAACTTGTTTGTAAGCTTGGCTTGACCCTGTGCTGGACCAATCTTAATTCCGAAAAAGAACTACGAAATTGAAATGCAAAAACACACAAATATCCGGATCACTGATCTTACTGAGAACAATTCACACAAGCACATCTAGTCTTTGTTCGTCACTCCATCCAGCAATCCTGGAAGGCTACATAGTACAGACACAGCACCAGGTTGGATTGGGGTAGGTTGCTAGCCTGGAACCATACAACCTTACAAATCCTTCATTTCTTGCATATCAGCAGCCTCAGGGAACTGGAATCCTAGAAAAGATTGAATGCTCTATTGCTCTCGTTTCATGTCACAGCTGTCGGGTTCACAGATAAAATTTTCAGCGTCCTGTTCCAAGGACAGAGCAGCGGAACCATCCTCATCAGTCATCACCTCCCCTCGTCTTCCAGTTCCAGACTTCCACCTCGGTGCCCCGGCGACCAGGTCCCTCGTCCCCGGCGAGGCTAGTTGCAGCCCAGCACAACTATCGGCATGCCTGTTGGAGCCGCCGCGGCTTGCTGTCACTTGTTGTACCACTTCGCCACACTTGGCTGACGGGAGCTGCAAAGCTAGAAATACGTCAGATCTTCCATCTGGGCCCGAATTATTAGTTGTCTTCTGTTTCAATAAGTCCTGAGCATGCTAACTGCTTATAGTTAGAAGTAGATCAGGATAGCTGCTGCGCGCGGTCACCACAGGCTGAGCGCGCAGGGGCCCGCATGACGCGCTCTCTCCACGGCACGACCCAGGGCGCTGGTATGGCAGCGACCAAGCACGAGCGTGCCGTGATCCTCTCGGTCATTCTTGGCCATGTAACACTACATGTACTTAGTTTATATTCAGATTCAATCAACAGAATACGCTGCCCAAATTTTCCCTGTGTTCCACTTGTGTTCGCGTGTGTTCATCGACTCTCTCTCGCTCTTGCTGTGATTGGGATCGTAACAATTGGCATCGGAGCCAGGTCACGCCACCACCATGTCGCAGTCGCCCAACAAGAAGGTCATTGCGCTCGCCACGACGTTGCGGCCGCTCTCACTCGCGCCGATCGCGCACCCGGGACGCCGGGCCACGCGTCATCGAGCGCATCATCGAGAGGCCGTCCGCCAACATCGCGTGGCTGATGCTCACACGGACTGACTATCTGGAATGGGCATTGGTGATGATGGTGAGTTTCCAGACGTCGTCTGCCACGACGTCGGGGAGGAGCGCGACTACGTCGACGACCATGACGATCGATAGGCGATGGCGGGTCTCCTGTGCTCGGTGCCCTCCGAGCTCTAGAGCACTCTCACCAGGAAGGACACGGTGAAGGAGGCCTAGGACGCGGTCAAGAATATGTTGATCGGGGACGAGCGCGCGCGTGGCCAGCGCGCAGCAGCTCCGCCGGGACTTCGGCAACATCACCTTCAAGGAAGGCGAGTCCGTCAATGAGTTTGGCATCCGCATCATCAACCTCGCCAACAATCTTCGCTCCCTCGGCGACAACATCATCGACGCTGAGGTAGTAAAGAAGTTGCTGCAGGTGGTGCCCGATCGGCTGAATCAGGCAGCGGTCTCCCTCAAGATGTTCCTCGACCTGAACAACATCACAGTTGAGGAGGTTATCGAGAGGCTGCGCGTCTTCGAGGAGCGCACCAAGCCGAAGCAGATCACGGACGCCATGTTGTGCCTGATGCTCTGCTAGGAAGAATGGGAGGCGAGTCGCAAGGCTCGCCGTGAGCAGGAGAGCTCCGGCGGCTCCACGTCCTCCAGCAACCGCGGGAAGCGCCGAGGGCGCGGGCGCGGGCGCGGCGGTGCAGGATCCTCATCGCGTGATGGCCGCGACGTCCAGAACACGGGCGCCGGGAACGCTGGTGGCGTGAGGCCACCACCCGGCGATCGCTGCAAGAACTGCGGCAAAACTGACCACTGGGCCAAAGACTACCGCGGGAAGAAGAAGGACGCGACACATGTCGCGCAGGCCGAAGAAGAAGAAAGGGCGTTGATGTACATCGTGGCGGAAACTGAGGTAACCATGCCACCCAAGTCTCCTTCAGTTCGAAGGCCGGCGTCGACTGCTATCGATCCGTAGACCCAGGTCCACCTCGATGAACGCAAGGTCCTCCTCCACCTCAACAGTGAGGAGGAGAAGGAGGCCGCCGTGGGACCTCGCCGCTTGGTGCTCGATACCGGCGCGATGAACCACATGACGGGGTCACGGAACGTCTTTGTCGAGCTGAACACCGGCATCACTAGAACTGTCAAGTTCGGTGACGGGTCGGTGGTCGCCATTGAAGGGAAGGGCACTGGTCTCTTTGCCTGCAAGACCGGTCAACATCGTCGCCTTGATGGGGTCTACTACATCATGCGTCTCACCACGAACATCGTCAGCATCGGCCAGATGGGTGAGGACGGGTTCAAGGTCGACATCGAATCCAGCATCCTGCGCCTCTTCGACCTGCGGCAACAACTCCTCACGAAGGTGCACCGTTCACCGAGCCGGCATTACTACCTTGACATGAACATCTCTGCCCTGGTGTGCCTCACCACTTGTGTCGGCGACGTCGCCTAGCGCTGACATGAACGGTACGGGCACCTCAACTTCCAGTCGTTGTGCAAGCTGGGACGAGAGGATCTTGTGAAGGGACTGCCGGCGATCGATCACGTCGAGCAAGTCTGCGAGGACTGATGATACGTCACGGGGTCCCAATCTTCACGACGTAGGATGACCACCAGATAACTAGCTTCAAAGAAGCCAAGATAACTTGCTGCAAGCAGCGGTGCAACCTAGCAAATAAAACTCAAAGCCAACCACCGTCTTTAACCGGCAACCTGAATCGAGGATTCGCCCAACCACACTCTCAAGAAACCAACCAATACAACCTACAATCAATCGAGGAAACCTCGAAGGGAGTAGGAGTACCAATTGGGAGCGGATAAAGCCACCGCTTCTGTAAATCCCGCGAAGAAAATCACAAGAGCAAAGGGGTAGAGATCACTCTCAAGGGTTTGTTAGCACACAACTGAACAATAGGGTTCTGTAGTTCAATTATCAAAAGTCTGAGATTGCTATGAGGCAACGTGGTATTTATACTGGGAATAGCCTCCTAGATAGGGTTTGTTCCACGAAATGAATTCCTGGAGGGTTCCCACGGAGCTGTTAGTCTTCTGTGCAGTCTTCAGTGTTTTGGCAATAACTCCACCTTGGGACTTCCAAAAGACATGCCATTGGATGCGTTGGAAAGTTAACTTGATAAGCTTTCACACCTTGTGCAGCATGCACCACGAAATAATGTAGAATGGTAGAGTTTTGCATAGGAACTTTAACATCAGGACGACTGTTGACTTGCTGACCAGTCTTTACTAATCCAATCGAATCTCTACATTGAAAAATCCAAATCAGTTGAGACCACCCGAGCTTGAAACTAGACTTGACAAGC